TGATGCCCTCTCCCCCCCGGGTCTGCCCCTTCTATCATGGCCAGCTCAATCTACAGACTTGAACTATATTCTTTTTAAAATCCATGTATATATTCTGAGTTCTATACTTTGTTTGGGGTTCAGATGCAAAAAGCATTGATTTTCAACCAGATATCAAATGCATCTGGTCAGTTGGTGTAACTTCAGTCAGGCTGATTCAATTCCAGATGACTTAGCTTTAGTACATATAAGAACTATCATTCCTTTCAGAATGCAGCCATTTCACCAATTTTGTCAATTTGGCCTAAATCCAGTGTTTATTGAATTACTGTGATAGTTTTGTATGGTGATATAATAGCTAAGGTACATAAGGCCATTTTACAGGACCAGGTATGCTCTGTGGTACAGGCACTGCTCTCTCTTTATGGCATAACAATATTCCTCTAAATACTGGAATACAAGTTCAAGAGTGGTTTCATGAATACCACTACGAACTAAAATGCCTTCAATTACCTCCTAGTTACTACATTAATTACTGGGCCTCTGTGTGAACTAGAAATTATTTTATTTTCATTTTTTTTTGTCAATCTGTATTTTATTGAGGTTTTGTTTGGTACAGGGTATATAAGCATTAATGCAATGAAATTCAAGGTATAACATAACAGTGTTCAATATTCAATAGAGAATAGTGACCTTTTAGCTGGAGACAGGTTTATATGACTAAGAACATGCTTTAGAGCTAAACCAGGTGTTAAATGCATAAGACCACTGGCACTCAGGAAATATTGAGATAATACACCTTGCTGTGTAAAAGCATAAGGCATGAATAAGTAGTGCTATCACAAAAACTGAAAATACAAAAACTGAAAATACAAATGCTATAACAGAAAAATAACTGTGCTCAAGTAACGTGACTCCGGCACTGCTGCCGCTATAGTTAGAGTGAGGCTCTCTATATGGAGAAGTAAGCAAAGGCTAGGGCACATTATAGAGTGCACAGGGATAGATTAAAAGGTAAAATGAAACTTGCACAACATAATACCCCATATGCATCCAGGCTGTTCATTGTGATTCACCCTACCCCCACGCTCACCATGAGAGTCCCACAGCCAAACCAACTCCCAGCTATTTGCTGGTGGCCACTCTGCTAGGCCCAGGCCTCCAACATAGCCACTGTGCTCTTTCCACTGCTGTGGTTACACCACGTGCCGTAGGCAGCAACCCGACAGGCGATGGCATAGTGACCCCTCCCGAGGGTGTGGGACAGGCACCGGGGTTCTTCTCCTCAAGGTCCCCAGCCTGAGAGAGCAGCAGTGGGCCCATGACCACCCGGTATGCAGTGTTGAGGCCGAGAGTCGGGAGATCCTCCCATGGGGTTTCTGATGCCGGTATGTGCAGGCTCCTCTTGTGGGCCTGTGCTTTGCATGCGAGCGGTAATCTAGTGAGGTGCCCCATTTTCCTCTGCCGAAGGTGGAGGCAGTATGGTAAGCGGGCTCTCAGTGTCGGTCTGCGGTGTTTGCTTCACCGATTCTCATGGCCTGTAGGGCTGTCGGCGGCCATCTTCCCATGGTCAACTCCGCTTTTGGTTTGTACACCACCCGACATCTAGGACGCTGGGCTGCAAATATCTTGTCTATGAGGCATGGTACCAGCGGATGGGATGTCAAGGATTCGTCATGAGGTTATTTGGCGTCCGTAATTTTGTGCTGTTATCAAGGGTGGTTGCTCTGTCAGGTGCACTGCAGTCTCTGATATAACCCTCACCGGTGGGGACAACGACCAGGTGGCCGGTGGTTGTTGCAGGTTCTGGTTTGAGGGAACAATGGGCAGAGAGATCGGCCTCCCCTTTCGCGCCCACGTTGCCGCCTAGGCCGCAAAGCAGTCCAGCCACCACAACTGAGTCTATAGTGTCTGCGGCTCCTTGTTTTGTGCTTCAACGGGAACGCTTAGGCAATTATCGAGTAGTATGCCCAGACAGCTCCACAATTTTACAAGATTAATGGCTGAAAGTCTGTTTTTGAACGGGAGCTCCGGGTTGATGTGGCTGCTCAGCATGGTGGTCAGGCTCTGCCCCCTAGAAATTATTTTTGAAGCATAGTAAAATATACTACTACAAACAGTTCAGGACTTTGGTGGCAATATTCCAAGGGAGATTGCAACTTTACTCATATAACCATCACTGCATAGCAATGGCAATTCTATTCACTACATAAGTTAAGGAATTTTTTGTATTATTATTTATGTTTTACTATAATAAATAGATAACATAAATGAAAACTGCATCTTTATTTGCCGATTAGTATAATATACGTGGGATACAGCTGTTGAACCTAAAATATAATAAAACAGAACATAGTGTAATACAACTGATAAATATGTAATAACCCCTGCTAAAAATTGCACTCACGGGATTTGAAGTTAAATGCACTCTAATGGTGCATACACTTATATTTGGGGGGCTGGTATCTCCCTCTCAGGATCAGGTGTAACCCAGTTTCAGGAACCATACAGGACTCCAACAGGTGGATCAGTACAAAAAAAGATTTATTGATCACAATTTAAAAGTAGTGATTAAAAAGCAAGTTTGGTCTTATGTGTTTCGTCCTTTAATGGGACTTCCTCAGAGACCAATATTCAATAAAAACAATCACAATAGTAATGCTCCCAAAAAAGCAGCAGCTTTGAGTTGGGATTGGAGGTTAAGATTTGAGGTAGGATTATTAGTAGGGTTAGGGGGTGTAATTATGGTAGGGTTATGGTTTAGATTATGGGTAGGGATAGGGGTTGGATTTGTGGTAAGATTATGGCGAGGATTAAAGATAGTATTAGGGGTTGAATTATGCTTAGGAGCATTGGTAGGATTAAGGGTTGTAGAATAAGTAAGATTATGGGAAAATGTATACAGGTAGAGTATTTTAATCAACAACAGTAACAGAATACAAATAAGGGGTATTTACAGTAATGGACAGCGTGGCCTGTGATTTTCCATGTGAGAAAAATAAACTAATTTGACTTAGGTTTGTCAAATGGTTCAATGACAAGTGTTAAAATGCTTTTAGCTAAAAAAGCCTGGGGGTTTTACTTTCTCCAAATTTATACTTTAGTGTTTTTTGATTCTGTGACCACTGGAGGGTAAACTTTACCTTGTTCTTAGGGTCATTGTCATGCTGGAAAGTCTGAGAGCGTCCCATGCGCAGTCTTCATGCAGAAGAATGCAAATTGTCTGCCAGTAATTTTCACAAAATTCCCCGTGCCTTTAGAGCTCACAAACCCCCATAACATCAGTGTGTCACCACCTTGCTTAACAGGGGGGATAGTATTATTTTCACTATGAGCCTTGTTGACCCCTCTCCAAACATAGCGCTTATGGTTCTGATGATAAAGCTCTATTTTGGTCTTGTCACTCCAAATTACAGTGTGCCAGAAGCTGGGAGATGTGTCAAGGTGTTGTCAGGTATATTGTAACCAAGCTTTTTTGTGGCATTGGCGCAGTAAAGGCTTCTTTCTGGCAACTTGACCATGCAGCTCATTTTTGTTCAAGTATCATGGTATTGTGCTCCATGAAACAACCACACCATTTTTTTTCCAGAGCAGCCTGTACTCTTCCTGTGGTTACCTGTGGGTTTTTCTTTGTATCCCTAACAATTCCTCTGGCACTTGTGGTGAAATCTTTTTTGTTCTACCTGACCTTGGTTTGGTATCAGGAGATCACCGCATTTTCTACTTCTTAATAAGTGATTGAACAGTACTGACTGGCATTTTCAAGTCTTTGGCCTTTTTATATCCTTTTCATATTCTTTTCCATCTTTATACAGTTCCATTACCTAGTCTTTTCTGCTCCCTGTGGCTCAGTATCTAGCCTGCTCAGTGCATCCACGTGAGAGCTAATAAACGCATTGACTATTTATACACAGACACAAATTGCAATTTAAAAAGTCACAGGTGTGGTAAATTAACCTAAAATGAATTGCCTTATTAACATGCGTGTGTCACCTTGTGTGTCTGTAACAAGGCCAAACATTCAAGGGTATGTAAACTTTTGATCAGGGCCATTTGGGTGTTTTCTGTTATCATTACGATTAAAAAAATGAGCCAAACAACTATGTAATAATAAATGGCTTCATATGATCACTATCCTTCAATAAAAGACATTTGGTTTGCATGATCAGTCATATTTTCAAAATCAATGCCAAAATGACACAATTTTTGCAGGGTATGCAAACTTTTGAGCACAACTGTAGATGCAGAGTGTGTATTTGTATAGTGGATGAAGTATGTGTATAGTGAATGCCGAGTGTGTTTGTGTAGTGGATGTAGTGTTTATGTGTATTAGATGCAGATACACAGATACACACTCTGACACATATGCACACATACTCAAAAACACACACTGACACACAGATATACACACTGACACATATACACACTCAGATACACATACTGACACACAGATACACACTGACACATACACAAACTCAGATACACACACACACACACACACTGACACACAGATACACACACAGACACACATATACACACACAGACACACAGATACACACACAGACACCTACAAACATCCAGAAACACACACACTCAGATACACACACTGACAGATACGCACACTGGCACTTTCACACACACTGACAGATGTCCCCATTTTCATATTTGCAGCCACCCTCCTGTTAGCTCTCCTTTTGTCTGCAGGTGGGTGGCTTGCATGGAGCGCTGCTGGTTAAGGCTGGTTAAGGTGTGGAGTCTGCAGTAGCTTCCCGCAGATCTTGTCTTGGAGGAAGTGACTAGTAGTGATGTCGCGAACCCAAAATTTTCGGTTCGCGAACGGCGAACGGAACTTCCGCAAATGTTCGCGAACCGGCGAACCGCCCGAAACGCCATTGACTTCAATGGGCAGGCGAATTTTAAAACACACAGGGACTCTTTCTGGCCACAATAGTGATGGAAAAGTTGTTTCAAGGGGACTAACACCTGGACTGTGGCATGCCGGAGAGGGATCCATGGCAAAACTCCCATGGAAAATTACACAGTTGATACAGAGTCTGGTTTTAATCCATAAAGGGCAGAAATCACCTAACATTCCTAAATCACAATCAATATGGATTGACACCTGACATATGACATATTGACACCTTGACATATGGATTGACACCTGTCCTCAGAGCCCCTGATGCACACGGACACAGAGCAGAATAGAGACTGGCCCCCCTACATAGGGTCACTTGGCAGATATGGATTGACACCTGTCCTAAGGATCCCTGATACACACTGACACAGAGCAGAATAGGGACTGTTCCCCCTACATCGGGTCACTTGGCAGATATGGATTGACACCTGTCCTAGGGATCCCTGATACACACTGACACAGAGCAGAATAGGGACTGTTCCTCCTACATAGGGTCACTTGGCAGATATGAATTGACACCTGTCCTCAGAGACCATGATACACACTGACACAGAGCAGAATAGAGACTGTTCCCCCTACATAGGGTCACTTTGCAGATATGGATTGACACCTGTCCTAAGGATCCCTGATACCCAATGTCACAGAGCAGAATTGGGACTGTTCCTCCTACATAGGGTCACTTGGCAGATATGGATTGACACCTGTCCTAAGGATCCCTGATACCCAATATCACAGAGCAGAATTGGGACTGTTCCTCCTACATAGGGTCACTTGGCAGATATGGATTGACACCTGTCCTCAGAGCCCCTGATACACACTGACACAGAGCAGAATAGAGACTGTTCCTCCTACATAGGGTCACTTGGCATATATGGATTGACACCTGTCCTCAGAGATCATGATACACACTGACACAGAGCAAAATAGAGACTGTTTCCCCTACATAGGGTCACTTGGCAGATATGGATTGACACCTGTCCTCAGAGACCATGATACACACTGACACAGAGCAGAATAGGGACTGTTACCCCTACATAGGGTCACTTGGCGGATATGGATTGACACCTTGTTACAAACTGCTATTTGTAACGGGCCCTTTAAATGGCAAATTGCCCTGCTTCCCTGGGTTGTGGAGAAGCCTACTTGCCAGCCTCCTCCCGCATGACTATGGCCCCTGGGAGATTGTGAAAATGTATGCACTTTTATTTGGTGTGTATGACCCTTTAAGACTGTCGGTGGGCATATTGGGGCTTATGGACTCTTTATGTGACTGGTGCTGGCCCTTTAAACACCTTTTTTGGGACATCAGGAAGATTGGGACACTGCCCCTTTAAGGCTGTGTCCCCAGACTTGTTGGGGACACTGCCCCTTTAAGACGGTGTACCCTGTGTCCCCAGACCTGCTGCAAACCCTTTGTGCCTGCCTGGCTAATTCCCACTTGGTTCAGTAAATGGGGCTTACTGAACCAAGTACCACACAGGCAGACCACCCAGAAGTGGAAGTGTGCAGGCAATTTACCTCCCAGAAGCTGCGGTTAACCGCAGCTTAATTGACAATACTGGGAGGTCTTTGTTCGTTTGCCGAACACGTGGCGGCGGCCATCTTTGATCATTCGACGAGGTCAGCGGTATGTGTAGCCAAATTCATGGAACTAAAATCGGCTACACATTTCCGCGAACACCGCTGAGCTCTACCTTCTCCCCTACTGGTTTTACAGCTGCAGAGACTAAGTCCCATTCGGCGATGGGACTTAGTCGTTTTTTCAGCCTGAAATAGACCGACCTCACAGCCTAAATCTATGGAACTGTTTTGGGCAGGAAAATGTGCTTGCAGTCGGTCATAAAGGGACCTCCAGCTAACTTTTTAACCCCTGGATGGATTTGGCTGATTTTTGGTTATGTTTATGTTTTAAGTGTGCTGATTCCAAATATGTAATTATGAAGATGGGATGTGTAGTTTTAAAGTTACAGGGTATGGCTAAAAACTGTATTTTTACTGCCTGTGTTTAATTATGTTAATCTCTTCCCAAACGTCATTTCGTTCAAAGTGGAGAGAATGTTAAAAAAATATATTTTTGTTCGGAGTGTGAGAAATGCTTTTCAGCCGCTTCTAATCTTAAGCATCATTTGAGGAGCCATACAGGAGAGAAACCTTATTAGTGGTGTGTTTAGTATTGTTCTGATCAGTTTAATACCTTCCGCGTCTCCTATCAGTGGACGTGTATATGGCAGCCATTTAGGAACCGTACACCTGGGACCCGAGCAAGGTCACCTCGTTCAACAGGCTTGCAGCATATCCCCCAGGAAGAAGAGCCTGAACCCCTACCGGCTGCACGTGTCTTACCTGTACATGGAAAGCTGCTCTGGTTCCTTGATGAGCCAGCTGCCCGGAGTTAACATGTCCCGTGGAGAAGCACTCTGTCCTGTAAAGCCTCACCAAAAAAAAAGGAGTGGTGTGTTTAGTATTGTTCTTGATCAGTTTAATACCTTCCGCTCAATAGTGGACGGTACACGGCATTGAGCCTTTTATCTGCCGTAAACTTTGAACAGCCAAGTGCACTGCCATTGAAAAGGAGTGCATGGCGGTGTGTGGGCCCTCAAAAAAGCTGCAACCTACTTGTATGGACAACCGCTTACCTTACTCACAGATCACATTAAATTTGGGGTAATCAAGTACGGTCAAGCTAATGTGACACCAGATAGGAGTGGTGTGTTTAGTACTATTTTTATCAGTTTAATACCTTCCGCGTCTCCTATCAGTGGACTTGTACACGGCATTGATTTTTGTAACAGGGAGATGGAAGAAGAGGTTTGGTCGGTCCTCTTACTGCAAATTTGGGGCACTGCGCGGTCAAGCTAATGTGACACCAGATAGGAGTGGTGTGTTTAGTACTATTTTTATCAGTTTAATACCTTCCGCGTCTCCTATCAGTGGACGTGTACACGGCATTGATTTTTGTAACAGGGAGATGGAAGAAGAGGCTTGGTCGGTCCC